AACCCTGTACTTTAGGGATTTTTATGGAGGCTTTATCACGTGGGCATGATAGATCATTAACTCATTTTCTAGCCCCTCTCCAGAGAATGGGGGGTAGGACTGAAAGTTCCAAGCTTCTAATCATGGCTTGGTCTTTCTGGTGACCAGACCCCATCTAGGAGCCCACCAGGAGTCACCTCATCAGAACAAAAGGTGTTCCCATCACCCAGGAAATTCCAAGGGATTTAGGAACTCTGTGTCAGACACTCCTTTCACTCAGGAAGTGACAAGGGTTTTAGGATCTCCATGTCAGGAACCGGGATCAAAGACCAAATTATTAGCTGGAACTGGGGGCAGAGACCAATATATATATTTCTTATTATTTCACAGTATCTTACTTTAAATAGTCAGTTATCTTTTTTTTTTTCTGTCAGTGATCTTTTAAAGAAGTTAAAAACCATGAAGAAAAATTATCTTATATTTACCATTTCTGGAGCTCTTCATTCCATCTAGTATATTCCTTCTGCTACAGAACTTCTAACATTTTTTCTGTATATGTCTGCTAACAGTAAATTATCCTAGCTTCTTTTTTTCCTGAAAAAATTCTTTATTTTTGCTTCATGTTGAATGAATCATTTCACTGGATATAGAATTATGAATTGACAGACTTTTGTTTCAGCACTAATGATGTACCATTGTCTCTTGGCTTATTTAGGTTCTAATGAGATGTCCATGGTCATTCTTATCTTTGTTTCTCCATATGTAATGTATCATTTTTCTCTGTCTGCTTTTAAGATTTTATCTATATCTCTGGTTTTCAGCAATTTTATTGTCATGAACCTTTTTATGATTTTCTTTGTGTTTACCCTGCTTGTGGTTTGTTGAGCTCCTTGGAACTGTGGATTTATGTTGTTGTTTGTGCCTTCAAGCCGATTCCAACTCCTAGCGACCCTGTGTACAGCAAAATGGAACCCTGTCCAGTCTTTTTGCGCCATCCTCTCACTTTCCAGCACTATATCAGAAAATGCTCTGCTGCTATTCAGAGGGTTTTCATGGCCAATTTTTTCTGAAGTGGGCGGCCAGGTCCTTTTTCCTAGTCTGTCTAGTCTGGAACCTCCGCTGAAACCTGTCCACCATGCGTGACCCTGCTGGTATTTGAAATACCAGTGGGATAGCTTTCAGCATCACAGCCACACACAGCCGCCACATGTGACAACCAACAGACTGGTGGTGTTCCCTGACAAGGAAACCAACCTAGGCCATAGTGGTGAGAATGACAAATCTTAACCACTAGACTGCCAGGGCTTTTATAATTTTATATGGATTTATAACTTTCATTAAATTTGCATGAATTTCAGTAATATTACGTCAACCACTTTTTCTGTTTCTGTCTCCCCCATCTCCTTCTGGCATTCCAATCACGTGTATTTTAGACCCCTTGATGTTGTCCCACAGGTTCACCGAGGTTCTGTTCGTTTTTATCAGGCTTTTTTCTCTTGCTTCATTTTGGATAGTTTCTGTTGCTATTATTTAATTTCACTGAATATTTTCCTCTGCAGTATTTAATCTGATCGAGTGAAATTTTCATTTCAAGTTTTGTATTTTTTATCCATATAGATTGCATTCGGTTCTTTTTATATTTTTTTTATGTCTGTCCTCATTCTGCTCATGTTTTCTTTTTAAATTCTTGAGCACATTTATAATAGCTGTTTTTATTTTTTTTATTATATTTTTTTTTGTGAGGAGGACTAGCCCTGAGCTAACATCCGATGCCAATCCTCCCCTTTTTTCCTTGAGGAAGAGTGGCCCAGAGCTAACATCCATGCCCATCTTCCTCCACTTCATATGAGACGCCGCCACAGCATGGCTTACCAAGCGGTGCGTCAGTGCGCACTCGGGATCTGAACCTGCGAACCCCGGGCTGCCGAAGCAGAGTGCGTGCACTTACCCGCTTGCGCCACCGGTCTGGCCCCTATAATAGCTGTTTTTAAATCCTTGTCTGCTAATTCCATCACTTATGAGTCTGCTTTTATTGATCAATTTTTCTCTTGATTATCAAACTCATTATCCTGCTTTCTTGCATATCTAGTGATGGTTTACTGGCTGCTGGATTTTGTGACTATTACATCATAGAGTGTCTAGATTTTGGTTCTTCATTTGAAGAATGTTAAATAGGCGGTAAAGTCACTCGCAGATCAATTTTTTTCTTTCAAGCCTTGTTTTTAAGATTATTCAGGTGAGTCTGCAATAACCTTTTCTCTAGGGCTAATTTATCCCTATTACCAAAGTGTGCCTCTTCTGTGGTCTCTGCTTGAAAGATTCCAGTGTTTGTTCTACCGTGGGGGGGGTGGGGGGGGATCTTGACCATTCTCAGTCCTGTAAAAGCTTTAGAGATTATTTAGCCTATAACCCCAGGCAGTTATTTGCCCAACCTCATGCAGTATCTCTCTATGCATCTATAGCTCATTATTAAGCAATAGACTCAAGGGGACTTCTTTGCTTATTTCTCAAATTCTTTTTTTGCGTAGTTCCCTCCTCTCCAGTCCTTTCACCCCGCATGTTCCAGCTGCCTCAGCTCTATAGAACTCTGACCTCTGTCTTTTCAACTCAATGAATCTGCTATGCTCTGTTTAGCTTCTTCCTACCTGCACTGTGCCTGGAACGTGCCTCCAGGCAGAAAGCTACTGTGATCGTAGGGGCTTACCTCATTTGCTTCTGTTCTCGACTTTATCACAGTTCTGCCCTGCCTGTTGTCCAGTATCTGGAAATAGCTGCTTCGTACATTTTGTCCTTACTTCTAGTGCTTTATGGTGTGAAATCAATCCCAGAATCAGTCACTCTGTTATAGCCAGAGTGGAACAATACTGCGAAGTTTTTTAAACTTTGCAAATGAAGAATAAACTCTTAGAATGGATGGTTCTATGGTGGAAGAGGGTAAAGGGGAAGAGATTCAGAGGCAACTCTATAACTTCGTATAACTGTACCAGAAGTTTAAGAAATGCATTATATTTGGAAACATTTTCTCCTCAGATTCAAAATGAGATTCGATGGAAATATTAAATTTATTTTTGAGAGTTAGAAAAAGTTTCAACCTTAGGTTGTTATACTTGTTTCATAAAATGAAGGTTACGTAGGCAGTTTCACTACTATTGCAGTGTTGTTCATTTGGATCACTGATAATGATGAGGCAGTGGCTGCTGCTGCTGGGGACAGCATTTATTTAAGCACCTGCAATGAACCAGGCACTGTATTGATTACTCTTGCACAACAGATCTGCCAGTTAGAAATCAGGATCCGCAGAAACTCATGGAGGTCAAGTTAGTTCCTGAGGGTCACAGAGTGAGAAGTGCTTATAGGTAATTTAGGGGCTGGACTGGGAAACAGTCTCAGCTCACCACTAACCACGCCTCCTTCCATAATTGTGCTGCTCCCTGATCTGTCTTCACCTGACCTTTCCCAGCTGGCAAATTAAAGTGGAAAACTGGGGCCGGCCCGGTGGGGCAAGCGGTTGGGTGCGCGCGCTCCGCTGCGGCGGCCCGGGGTTCGCTGGTTCAGATCCCGGGCGCGCACCGACGCACTGCTTTGGCAAGCCATGCTGTGGCGGCGTCCCATATAAAGTGGAGGAGGATGGGCACTGATGTTAGCCCAGGGTCGTCTTCCTCGGCAAAAAAAGAGGAGGATTGGCGAGTAAATGATTATTAAAAAATAAATAAATGAAAAAAAAAATAAAGTGGAAAACAGTCAACTCCCTCCCCAGAGAACCTGTGTTATTACATAGATGTTTTGCATTGTTTTGCTTTGAGTAACAGCATATGTAAATGTGCTCCTAGAGGTTAAAATTACACTTATTTTTGAAAACTTGGCCTCTCCCGCTGGGGTGAATGGTTGAAAATGATGGGTAGGAAAGGCAGGCTGGAGGAAAAGTTAGTCAGCTTGGGATTGCTTCTCCCTCTTCCTCCCTACCCACCACATATTTCTATTCAAGCCACGCTGCCACGGCAGAGTAAAGATCAGTAAATTTCCTACCATGGAGTCCTAGCTGGTTCTGACAGGCAGTGTCCAGAGTGGGTGAATCCAGACATCAATCATTAACTCTGCATCAGGTTGGTGTGTAGGGGCAGATGTTCTTGCTGAGAAGAATAAAAGCTTCCTGCGGCACCTGGAAGACTTTATCACACATGGTCCACCACCAGATCACAAAGAGATTCTAGTTAACACGGGCACTTCGCTGCCTCTAACCATCCACCTCTTGTTCAGAGGTTGGCATAACCCCTCGACTTCAGCTCTCCCGCGGGCCCTGCATTGTTGAACCCTCCCTATCTTAAACCGCCTTTCCTGGCATTTGAATCATCACTTCGATGATGTGATAATATCTGCAAGTTGGGAAAATAAAAGTGGCATTTGTTTAGCCATAATTAATGAAATATTTATGTTGCATGAGACTATGTGATAAAACCTTCGGCTTAGAGCCTTTTGCTTCTGATTACATTTGGGATTTTTTTTTTCTATGACCAGACATTCTGACGCCAGCTCTTTTACACTGAGCAGATGTCATGTAGTAAAAATGGGCGCCAGATGCTGTGAGCCGCAGAAGGGCGATTTGTTTAAGAGCTGGCTCTGACTTTTTTGCATTCGATTACTCTGCAGAACGAACCTTACACAATCATCTAGGTAACTCAGCTAACTTCAGACGCATTTTAATAACAGATTTCATCTCTGGATGCATTCTAAGCAACACACCATATAAATGGTGTTTAAGGAATTAATTGATTTCTGCATAATACCTTTTTTTAATATATGAAAAGAGAGCTGCACAGCTCTTGGCGGGGACCCAGAAATGTAATTAACATGGAGGGCCAAATTTTCAGTTGCCCTTAGGTACTGCCTCCTCACACCCACGGCAGGTGCAGTGAAGGGTGGGCAGGGAGGGAGGGTGAGAGGGGAGGAGGGAGAGACAGCTTTGGGTCAAGAAGCAGGAAAGGAAACTAGGAGTTCAGTGATGTCTTCTGTTTCCATTTCAGGTCCCAAGCACGGCCCCATGAGAAGGCAGGTGACAGGGGCTGCCTCTTCCCCCTCTTCCACCACCTCCTCCTCTACAGATGAAGAATTTGATCCCCAGTCTTCCTTGTGGTCAAAGGTAACAACATTTGGCAAACCAAAGTGGGCCTTGGCTCTTAGGGACTGTTTCCTCTCAGAGCCAAGGTGGGATCCTGCTGTAGTGGTTTCATTAGGAGGATCACGATTCATTGCATCTGACAGCAACCACTCTTTTTACCTGGAACACCCCAAGAATTATCTTTTTGTTCTTAACTTTTAGAAGCTTGCCTTTCTCAGAAACTCAAATTGGAGAGGAAAAAAAAAAAAAAGAACCAGACATATTTACTTGAAACCATTTGGTGACTAAAGCTCTTAAAGTGGGTTTGATATGTGGTCCAACAAGCAAACCATCGAAAAAATTACAACAAGCAGATGCATATTTCCCTGGGGGAAGCACAGCTTCATTTAAAAAGTGCTAGAGACAGATTGCATGGAAAATGTTATGTTTATTCTAATCAGAAATAGGAAATGAACCATGCAGTTGCATCTAGACATGGATACTCCAAGGATCCCTACTGTGGAAGGGACTAGCCGTGTGCCAGCTAGGGAGATGGCAGTCCTCTTTGCTTAATGAACATTAATATTTCTGGGGAACACTTTAAACAACTCCCATACCCATAGATTAAAAAACACAAACGTTGTTATATGTCTTTAAATGAGTCTGTCACATACACAGAGACCCCTCCCATGACCAAATTTCACCATTGTTTTCTTTACCCACTGGAGCTGGAGCATTTTCACTGGCACTTGGGGCTGAACGGCTAGACCTAAAATGCTTCCAGGGTGGATAGAGAAGCAGTTCACTGCTCTGGCAGTGTTTACTTTTTGGAGCAGTAAGGATCTGAAGGAAAAGGGAGAAAACCAAATTTATTTACTTAGACTCAACTTTTCCATATCTGGCATTAGGAGCTTTGGCATCATCTCAAGTCACTCAGGGGTTCCAGCTCCCCATGGCCCAGCTTGGAGCAAGCCAGGAGGGGGCTGGGACATGGCACAAGTGTGTGTGTGTATGTGTGTGTGTGTGTGTGTGTGTGAGAGAGAGAAGAGAGAGAGAGAGAGAATGATAATGAGAAAAAATGTGTATAGATTTCTAATTTCTAACTGTGGGCATCTCTGTTTAGTTTGGTACTCAACACAAATGAATTCTGTGTGTTACGTTGATTTCAGGGGTTTCCTTACTGCCCCTCTCATCCCTTTAAATGACGCGGAATTAATTCTGTATTCAAATGAATACAGACATTCATCAGCCATTCCAAGGTGCATGGAGAAAAAAAGAATGGAGTGGCCCAAACACATCAAAATAGCAAGACCATGATATCTAGGGCAAGCCTTGCAAGTAGCTCCTTGTCCTCCTGCTGGGCCAGAGCAGGGCCAGTCATCACTTAAGCTCGCAGCATGGTAAAGCTTGCCTGCTTCACCTGGCTTCTTACATGGCCACTCTTACAGGCAGGGGAGCTGGCAAAAGGGTTACTTGTTTACAGCTTCCCAAAGGCTCACCCTGAAGGAACAAAGGGAGTTTTTCCCCCTCTGGTTTCTTTATCTCTTCTGTCCCATACAGGTGTGTCCCCAGCCACGTGGCATAGAGCCATGTCAGCTCAAGTGAACTTTTGCGCAGGAAGCTGCAGAAAGGAAGTGCACGCCTCGCCTCTTCCCTCTGCTCCGCCCCTCCTACCGCATGCCTTCCCAAACAATGCCTGGATCTGAGACTGGACAGCAGCTTGTCCTCGGTCCTGCCAGATTTCTCCCTTTCTTGGTTCTTTATCTTTTTGTTCCTTAGCCCTTAGCCTCTTTCCTTTCTTCTCTGTGTCCTCTTTACCATCCCTGAGGATGTGAGAACTGTGCCTGGCACATCATAAGGCTATATGAATGTTTGTTAATCAATCATCCTTTTCTATGTCAACATCTTTTAATAAAAGGCACTGAAGGACTTTCCTTCCTCCTCTAGGTTCTCTCTGGCTGCCTCTTGATAAAGGATTCGGGGTTTGGCAGCTTTGCTACTAAAACGGCATGATGCTGTCAAGGCATCCCCCCTTGAAATTGTATTAAATGGTCTTAATTTAGGGAGAAGCTTTGATGTGTCTGTAAGCAGAGGTCCTTGATGTGCCTGCACAGTAGCTGGCACAGGAAAGGTGAAATCAACTAGATGCACTGTGGACGCTGAATTCAGGTTACTTGGGCTTACCTCCTGGCTCTGCCAGTTACTAACTGTGTCATCTCGGGCGAGTTATTTAACTTCTTTGAGTTTTAATTTCCTTATCTGTAAAATAAGAGTAATTGGAGGACTAAATAAGATGATACATGTGAGGTAATCAGTACAGCGTCTGGCACATAGCACTCAAGCAATCCTGGGATTAATGATGTAGTTAGTGCAATGGAAGCTCAAGAGATACTTGTTAAACAAATGAACTGGCTCTCCATCTAGATTGAGTTAGACACTCTCTGGATAACTACTACCAGTGATCTCCACCATGCCCCTCCCCCGCAGTCTTTCCAGAAAGATCCTGGCTGCCTAACGGAGGGGTTCCCCCACCTGAAGCTGCTGGGAGCCTCTGTTCAGAGTCATCAACTAGATGTCAACATCTGTTCTGGAAGTCATCCCCTAGAAATAGAGATGATACGATATGGAATAAGTTTGAGTTCTGAGAGCCAAAATTTCCTTCCAAGGATGAAGATCTTTAGGATTCTAGATCCTAAGGAGAATTCTAGAAAAACAAAGTTTCATCATTGAGATAAATGTTTCACCAATGATTTGTAGACAGTTGAACCCTGAATGCTGGATGCTTCCCTAAGGAGAGTGATGGTCTCTCCATTGAATGGATGACAGAATGACAAGGATCCATGAAGACCTGGAAAGACACATATTTTAAGGCACAATCTCTGACCTCTGTTATGGACCTGGATTCTTCTGGCAGCATCTGGGATCAGTCCTGTTAGGGCTATTCCCCACTTGTGGATTTATGGTCCTTTTAATGAGCAAACATTCAGTTCAACCACAGTTATTGAAAGCCCAGAGACCGGGCTAGCTGTAACAATTTTTTAATTCCGTATTTGTTTCTGCCAGCATTAAAAAGAAATCTCTAGCATGCTCTAATCCTCATCCTAATACAGAAAATTGATGTGTATGCTCAGAGAAGGCAAACTCATAATAAAACTAGCCCAATTTGAACATTTATTTTATATCTATAGGATGTGTATGTATATTATATGTACTCCTAGACACTTATATATAAAAAATAATAGATTTTAGTAAAAAATTATAATCATGTTAATAATATTAAAAATCATGGTATTTACTGAATGTCTATCCCATATCTTTTTAAAGTATTCTGCAAAGGGCTTGTCCCACCTTATCTCATTTAATCGTTATTACGTCCCTACAGGGTAGGCATTAGATCATTCTCATCACTCTGAAGACAGCCCTGAAGTTCAGAAAGTTGCGTGACATGCTGAAGCTCACATTAGCTCAGCTGGGGATGCCAGCTTTGCATGGCTCCTGGGCCTCAACCATTATTCTCTGCTATTTCTCCAATCATAAGTGTCTCCTGCACTTTCCAATATGTGGAGCTGGCCATATCGCTGCTTCTCCTGGTGTCTAAAACCTGGAAGTGACACCATCAAGATCCAGACAGCTATTTTAAATGCACCAATTTTAAATGCTGTATATTTCATAAGCCCAGGCACACGGAGAACCCAGTGACGTTACTGATGTATCTGTACTAGCAAAGTGAAGGAGGGAAGGGAAGCAATCTCATGTCTCTCTCAAGCCAAGAAAGTCTTTGATTTGAATTGTTTAGATATATTCCTCTATTCCCGGGTTTAGTCAGGCAATGTAGACCCAACCTAAGGACTATTTAAAGTTGTTAACTGGTTTTTGGTAGCATACTTTGTGTGTGCATGTGTGTGTGTCCCAGGCTCATTATCCCTGGGCCTTATCGAAGCACTTGTATAGAGTATAATTCTTGTATGATTCCTTCCTTCAACTGAACCAAGTCAATACTATATAAAGCCAATCCCATCTACATACCTACATATATACCCACACACACATCTGGCAGCAACCTGGCACCTACTAGCCACATGTGGCTATTTAAATTTACTTTTAAATTCATTAAAATGAAATAAAATTTAAAATTCAATTTCTTATATACACTAGCCTCATTTCAAGTGTCCAATAGCCACGTGTGGCTGGTGGCTTCCATATTTTAGACAGCACAGATATAGAACATTTCCATCATTGCAGAAAGTTCCATTGGATATCATTGTTCTAGAAGCTAAGCAGTGGTTTGGTTCAGAAGGCAGAATCCTATGACAGTATTTTGTGAGTTTCAACCCCCATTTTTCTCAGACATATTTTTTCTTCTCTGTTGGTTCTTATAGGAGAGGAAGACACTTAGAAGAAGAAGGAAGCTGGAAAAAGCAACAAAACAATTGGTTAAGCAAGAAGAATTGAAAAGACTTCATAAAGCTCAGGTCAGAAAACATGCTTGAGATGAGGGAGCGGGTTTGGGATCCTAGGAATGTGGATCCAAGAGCCCTTTGGAAATCTGCATTACACTGGGGGAGGCGGGCTAGGAAAAAGTCAGCCTCTCCTCTCTGAGCAACCAGGTCTGTGGCCATCCTACAGGCCCTGACTCCATTCCTGCTGGGACTGTGGGGCCTGGAGGGCCCAGGTGTTGAGCTGACCCATTCCCAGCTGTCTTTCCATTTGCAAACATGTGTCCTGCAAAATGAGCCTAGAATGACAGCCAACGCATGGCCTTGGGCATCATCCCCAGCCCTGACTGCTACATAGCAGTGGCCTTAGTTTTGTCCTCTGTGAGGACACAACCTCCCCCCAACTCCCTGACAGTGTCTTTGCTGAACTGACAACCATTAGGGGCTGTCTCTATTCCAAGGTTAGTTGAAACACAAGCATCCAGCATTCTGATATAGATTTTCTAGCTTGATTGTTAACTACACACATTTCTGCCCAAGTTGATCTGCCCACCTCTGTCACAGATGGGCAGAAAGAAGCAGAAAGTCAAGGCATTCTCCTGCTCCTTGAGGACCCCAAACCTAACCGTGAAGAACAGTGGGGTTGTAGGACACGAGGACTTAGAATGACCATTCGTATTCATCTAGTATATCTTTACATCCCTTTCTGCAGTTGTTCTTTTTATCTAGCTGTGTAGTCCTGTAAGTTGTTTCTGACAGGAAGGAAGTCATTTAATCCAAACTCCTTACCCTTCCCAGTGACTGACACCAGAGCCACCCTTTCACCTGGTGGACAGGGAAAGTTCCCACAAAGTCACCCTCTCCACTCTCAACTTCTGAACAGGTTTCCTTAAAACATTTCAATGTTTCCTTCTGAGAACAAGATAAGTCTTTCTGATATGGATTGGCAAACTCAGCCATTTCCCCTCCTTATGTTTTCACTCTAGACAGTAGGTGGTGATAAGAGAAGAGTTATGATGGCCTTTTGAGTCCTAATCTGCTAGCACCCACAGCAGCCCTCCTTAATCTTTAAGATTTTCGTCCTTAGTTTGTAACGAATGACCACTGTATTAGTCTGCTTAGGCTGCCATAACAATATTCCACAGAATATGTGGCTTAAACAACAGGAATTTATTTTCTCACAGTTCTAGAGGCTGGAAGTCTCTGGAAAGATCAAGGTGCCAGGGTTGGTCTCTGGTGAGAGCTCTCGTCTTGGCTTGTGGACAGCTGCCCTCTTGCTGCGTCCTCACACGGCCTTTTCTCTCTGTGTAGGCAGAGAGAGAGAGATCTGTGGTGTCTCTTCCTCTTCTAATAAGGATACCAGTCCTATGGGATTAGGGCCCCACCCTTATGACCTTATTTAACCTTAATTACCTCCTTAAAGACCCCATCTCTCATTACAGTCACATTGTGGGTTAGGGCTTCAACATATGAATTGGGGGTGGGGGGGGGACACAATTCAGTCCATAACAACCACACAGCCATAACTGCACAACAGTCAGTAATAAAGTCGTCATTTAAATGTTTCCCTTCCATTAGCAGTTCCACACCATGCCATCAAGAGATGGATTTATAAAGATATAATGGTCTTTAAAAGAGACAGAGAGGAAGAGGACAGGAAATTATAGTAGTTTTCCGTAGAATTCCCATCTATTTCAGAGTTTATGTTAAACACTGAGGCTGAAACAGCTGGGACGAGAAGAGCCAGGTGGCTGCTCGGGCCCCATCCCTGCTCAGCTCTCTCCCCAGGGTTGGCGTACGGTACCTCAGCAATTGCACTCTGCATCCAGGGAGACTTAGAAAGATGTGGAGTTCAGGAGGAGAGGAGTGAGCCGGAGCTGGAGGAAGGTGGAAGAGAAGACACACACGCTTCCCCTGCCCAGACAGCCAGGGGCAGAGTCAGTTCTGTCAAGAGATATGCCTTTTGGCGGTAGAGAAAATTGACAGGGATGCACAAAATGTATACAGGAAAGGCTTTCCCCTACTTTTCCTTCCTAATATACATAAGAAAAAAATAGCTAGTAGGGAAAATAAATGTGTAGATGCAAACCCAGTCATGACTCCAAACCTCAATAGGTGCCTTAATAGATGGTGAGTCTGAGGAGGGTATGAGGTTGTCCCTACATGGGTTAAACATCTTGAGTCTTTTCTTAATAACCTGCTGGTAATAAAGCCACCATACATGGCCACAGTAAAAGGCCCCTGGGCATTAGCCCCGTGGTGCAGTGAACGAGTAGGCACGATTTGTAGCTGAGGACAGGAGCAGGACAAACTGAGAGGGGGACACCCAGCCCCAGGAGCTGGCCCAGGTCTCCTGCTCCAGACCAGTCTCTTGCGAGGCCTCTGCTGGTTCTTCCTGGGAAAATGGAATATGAGCGTGTTCCGTGTTTGTCCCGGAGCTCATGTCCTACCCTGAGTCACGGCTGCAGCGCGGGTGGTTATGCCATGACCGTAGTCAGAGGCTGGGTCTCCGAGGAGTCCAGGAGCCGTGCAGACCACCCGCCTAGCCCACAGCCTCTGCCTGAGAGCCCCTGTGTGACTGGCCTGGTCTAAGGGGACTGTTTTAACGACTGCTTAGGGGAGGCTGAGCTTCCACACAGACCCCTTGCTGTATGTTTTCCTACTAAAGAAGGGAGACACCAGGATCTAGTTGTTTGGGAATTCCGACATCCTTCCCCAGTTACTCAGGGAGGGACACCACGAGGGACAGGGCCTCTTCCTCTTGGAAAGTAAGTGGCAGTAGTGACCCCCTCGTGTGAGTGCACATCAGGAGTCCCCGTGTGACATACGATCCCGGCGTTGCAGGCCATCCAGAGGCAGCTGGAGGAGGTGGAGGAGCGGCAGAGGGCTTCTGAGATCCAGGGCGTGAGGCTGGAGAAGGCTCTCAGAGGAGAAGCAGGTAGGCATCTCAGCGCGTCCGCAGCAGTGGGGTGGGGCCGTGTCTGTGGTCTGAGGATAGTGCTGCTCTAACCATCTGGGCAAAACAGTGAGACTTTGTCACCCTCTGTGGGTCTGTCAACATCGACAGAGTGTGCTAAATCCACGGTTGCTTCACCGTGGATTTCTTCACTTTCACACTCAAACTGGTGGTCCCATTTGAAATTCCTTGGGCATTGGTCAGCCGGTGGGCCTTGTAACTGGGTTTCTGCTCTGCCCAGTTCTCCTCGGCTCTGAATGTTCTTTGCAATTCAGGAGTTAAGATAAATTCAGGAGGAATAATTGGGCATTCAAGTAATGCTGGTAGTGAGTCGAAGTCCTGGTTTCTCTGTTTACTCGCTGTATGACCTTGGGCCAGTCACATTCTAAACGTTTGCCAACTTGGGTTTTCTCCTCTAAAATGGGGATAATAGTGGTTTCCTACCTTACAGAGTTCATATAAGGATTAAAGAAGAAATTATATGTGATTCATAAATTAGCACATTGCCTGACACAAGGTAGAACGATAAACGATAGCTATTCCATGGATAGCTTCAGATTCTTAGATCCCAGTCATCTGCTGAAGACCTACCATGAGTTGGACATGTAGACGGTGAGTCTATAACGATGAGCATGACACAGTTTCTGCCTTTGAGAAGTTTATAGTCCATTGAGGGGCACAGACCTGTAAAGAAATAAAGTACAATACAGGGGGACAAGTGCTGTGACAGGAACCAGCGTGAGGGGGGAATGGGAACAGAATCACGAGGTTCCTAACTGATTTGGGAATGTGGTCAGGCTAATCACCTGGAAGGGGTGATCTATTAAGGCGAGAACCAGAGGAGGAACAGGCGTTAACCAGTGAGGCGAGGAGATTGTTCTGGCGGAGAGAGCAGCACGTGCAAAGGCCCAGTGTGAAAAGACGGGAAGCGCCTGAACAGGTGAGGAGCCCATGAAGTGTTTTGAGGTCAGGGATGACCTAAAGAATCTACATTTCTTGGAAACCATCCATCAGCAGTCTGGCTAGTGAAATGAGGGGCCTTTAGAATTTGTGGGAAATATTGTCTCTTTAGTTTCATGATATGACGTCTTTGGCCTTCTGGATTTTGGATATAAAGTGTGAAAAAACAAACACTGCAAACACATCTCTCTATGTGCAATCTTGTGAACAACGTGACACTTGTTAAACAACATAGTGAAGGGTTAGGATTTCAATTCTCTAAAAAGTTCAGTTATTCAAGAGTGATGGTGCTCAGAGGGGCAGACCCCAGATATTGCAAGGCCTGAAGCTCATGCAAAGTCATGCACACAAAATTGTGAGGGCTGCTCCCAGAGCCTTGCAAGGCCCATCCTTAATTAGCTGTATGGTTAATTTGTCTCTGGATATCAGGGAAACGTTGGGGTCTGACTTTACCCCCTGTGTCTCAGTTTCCTTGTTTGTAAGTAGGAGGGATAATCACACCTGTCTCTTGGATTCGTGGTGAGGACCGGCTAAAACAATTTATGTGGAAGCCCTAGCACGGTGCCTGACATGGGATAGCAGATTGATAAATGTTTGTTGCTTGTCTTACTAAAATACAGTATGCATTTCCTTGCGAAGATAATCCAAATCCACTCATCAGAAGTAGGCTTCTTTACAAAACTCATAACTGTTTCTTGCTGATTGGAGTGAAGTCACTGCCTGTCTTTACAGTTGCTGTTGTGACTTTTGATTACAATCCACCGTCCTTGTTTGATGTTTGGTCATACTCCCAATCCAGAAAGTGCTGGCACTTGTCTTTAGGAATCTGCTGATTTCAGTGAGAGCCTTAGAAATGGAAAGGATAAACCAGCAGTTTGCTAGGGAGGCAGTGTGGCTTGGTGGGGCAAGTAGAATTGTAGGCATCAAAGATCATGTGTTCAAATTCTGTTCCATTGCGTTTAGGCTGTGTGGTCCTGGGAAAATCACTTAACCTCTCTGGCCCCAGATTCCTTATCTGAAAAATGGAGCTAATAATTTCCACATTACCACGTCATTTTGAGAGTTAAGGGTAGTGATGGGCAAGGTATCTCCCAGAGTCTACCACACTGTAGGCATTTGACAAATGCTGCCTGATATTATTTTATAAAATATTATTAAATATCCACATACATACACTTGTAAAGAATCGACTCTCTAGTCTTTACTGCTTGAAATTTAAATTCTAGAAACCAAATTTTTAAAGCTTCTGAAACTCTCCCTCACCTCAAATGTAAAAAAAGGCTATTTAAGTTATAAGCTAAAGAAACTCAGCCAGCTTATGGTGCCTTCAGATGTGTGTTAACCCGGCCAGAAGATAGATTCCATTCATTCCCTTTATATCCTTGCTAATTTAATTCTCCTGTTACGTTTATGGGCCTTTTTCTCCTTGATTGTCCTTGTGTGGGTGACAGACGCAGATCAACAGGGGACTGGAGCCTATAAGAGTTAAGTCATTGAGAGTGGCCCCAAAGGAAACCAAACGGAAGATTTGCAAACCAGGCATCAAAATTAATACACTCTAACTTGTAATAACATTGTGCAATAATAATATTCCCTTGTGGTTTAATATTCTGTTCAGCCCCTTTAAGAGATTGCCCTGGTGCATAATGAATGGCCGATGCTTATTAGGTTAAGTTGTATTTGAACTGGCCTGTGCTGCTCTGGTTCAAGTGATTTAATGGGAATTATTTAATAGGTATTATTAGGATAATTAGAAAATGATCACAGTTAGGCAATAATATTGAGCTATAAAGGTTGTGAATAACCAAATTTAGAGACAGGCCTGAAAACATGAGTAGTCTGCGACAGTTATGTAAGTCTCCTCTAATAATTATGTGCGCCAGCCTGAAAGGGTCTTTTGTTCCTAGGAGTTATTCATTAGGCGGGCATTGAATTAGAGGAACATGCGGGGGTGCAGGACGGAGGGCAATGATGGCTGATGAGCAAAATGAGGCTTTGATGAGCTCCTAATTGTCGTGACAACAATTCCTGCTTTCTTTTTTTCCAACAGTCAGAACTAAGCTCCTCCACCCCCGGGGAAGGGTTCTTCCCTATTTTGTCTAGGAAACAAAGAAAAACCAAAATCCAACAATCCACCCCAGATGACAAGTTATGTCATTATGTTCTGTAGTGTGTTCGTGTGTGTGTGTGTGCACATGTGTGTGTGCACGTGTGTGTGTGTGTGGTATCGATGGATGTCCTTGACAAAGGGAATGGACTCTCCCGGTGGTCCTGGCTGTCCAGAGTAAAGGACCAGGATATGCAGCAGCCTGATTGCCCTGGACCCCACCCTCTGTGAGGCGGCCGAGCCGAGCTTTGCCAGCCACTTAGACTCTTCTTGATCAAGACACTGTTACCTACTGGTTTGTTGGTTGTCAACGTGGTGGCCAGTGTTATGTGCCGGGGCCGTGGAATACCCCGATTTAGCAAGAGACCACCATTCAAATTTAGATGGTGTGGATAATAGATTCTGTGCTTTCTTTCAATACCTGGAGATAGGTGAAATCTGACGAAAACTGAGAACAGCTTTGAGGAGAAAGGATTTGTCCGCAGGGAAGGTGTATGGGAATTATTCCTGCCTTATAGCTTCACCAACTTTGGGGAAGTTTTATCAGCTGGTTGCCTGCATTGAGCTTCTTGCTTTCTTTTTTAGAGCCAGATGGCTTCTCCTTCACACAGAGGGTTTACAAAGAAATAGCAGGATGTGCAAGGCTGCCAGCAGGTGGCAGCAGGAGCACACATTATGAGGAGACGTTGCACTGAAACCCAGCAAGGAAGAGGGAAGTAGTTCGGCTTCTACTCTGTGGTTTTCGTCTTGACTGCCGCTGAGAAACAGAAGGAATAATAATTTCCTGGATAACGTAACAGTGAGGTGTTCTGAAAAGAACACAGATATTAGAGTCAGATGCTCCTGAGTTTGAATCTGGGTGCCGTCCTTACACAATTACTTACCTCTCTGCCAAATTTGCTCGTCCGTAAAATAGGAGTAATAATACCAACCTGATGCAGATGGTATGAAGAAAAGACTAAATGAAATAATGTTAGTAAAGCACCTAAAAAGAGTGCCTGGCATATAACAGGTGTTCAAAACGATTAATTCTCTCTCTTTTCTTTTATATCCCTATCATAAAACACAGCTGCATGGTCAATGATTTCTCAGATTGCACCTACTTATTTGTTCATTCATTCACATTCATTTATTTTTTTTTTATTGATTTTTTTATAATTTTATTTATTTATTTTTCCCCCAAAGCCCCAGGAGATAGTTGTATGTCATAGCTGCACATCCTTCTAGTTGCTGTATGTGGGACACGGCCTCAGCATGGCCAGACAAGCAGTGCGTCGGTGCGCGCCCGGGATCCGAACCCGGGCCGCCAGCAGTGGAGCACGCGCACTTAACCGCTAAGCCATGGGGCCGGCCCCACATTCATTTATAACTACACTCCCTAGAAGAGATTTAAGTTGGTTTCTATAAATATGTATAATACATGAATTTTGCATATCTGGTCCATATAAGGATCTCAATGTAGACTCATACTGTTACCCCCCCCACTCCCCCAAAAACCACAATTCAGTGAAAGCAGTTCCAGAATGAGAACAAAACACTGTAGTTCTGAGGCATGCCTCTCTGATGGTCTGCCATAATTTGGGGCTAGATTTCAGGGAATGGATATGCTTTAGGTAACCTTCCATAATTATTTGTTCCTTACATGTACTACTAAAAGGCAGTGAGTCTAAGGCTGTACCCTCTGGTCAGCCATTAGGAGTGGCTGATTGCTGTCCTCTAAAGGGTCAGCAGAGCAGGCAAGGGTTGACATCCTTCTGTGATCCTGGAGGAGTCTGACTCTCTGAATACAGGGTGACCATAAAATTGGAAGCACAGATCATATTATTTCATCACATGATATAATGGAATATTGTCAGGAAAGAGCTCCAGTCTCATAGAGAATGGCCCAGAGTAACAAGACTCCAAAGTTGATGAC